GTATGTGTTGTTATTGTTGTTGAATTTTTTTTTAATTTAATTGTTACTCATTATTTTATTTTGATTTAAGCTTTTCATTTAACTGTTTTCTTTTAATTTTAAAATTTTATAGTCATGGATGTTGGCTTGGGAAAGGAGAATATCTTTTAGGAAAGGATATATTTGGAAAAAAAAATTGTAGCACAGCTTAAGATTTTGGCAAAACTCAATAGTGGCACTCTCAAGAACTTTCTAAGTTACTTCCTCTTTTAATAAGTATGGCATTCTGTAGATCAAAGTTGGAGCTGAACTTATTTCTGTGTATGACTAATGCATTTGATAAATTGTTATGCATAAGATCCTTTTTGTGTCTGCAAGTTTCCCTTATTCATATTAACTGTTTTTTTACATATTTTTTACTTATATCTGAATTTTTACATACACACAAAAACACACATATATTATTTATGAAAATATATTATCAAGATATAAAAGAAAATGACTTTTAACCTCATAAAAGTTCCAAATTTATTGATTTAATAGATTAATTATTTCATCTTATTGTAATGAATTCAAAACAAATTTGGATAAAAGATATGTCAGATTATGTTTTGTAATATAGACATTCTGACAAAAAAGTAATATATAGCTGGTAAGTCGTGAACCAATTTGAAAGCTTAGGTCAATGAGTACAGTAGTATGAAAATATCTTATATATATATAGGTTTATGTACGGGAGGGGGTTCTAAGCTTTTTTATTTCTCACCCTTCCATGAGTGTGACTGATATACATGTGTTTATTTTTACTCCCTCCACACTCTGTGATAAATGAATTGTATAAATGCTAGATCCCTCATTCTTTGATTTGTGTTCTGCTTGTCTGAAGATCACAAAGAGCATGAAACTTGGGTAGCAGTTTGAGCTGTGTCCTGTTCAGGGCTGACGCTCTGAAGGGTTTTTTTGCCCTGTCTGGACAGCCTCGGCATTGAGCACTGTTATTTACTTCTTATGTAGGTGTTTGCCTTCTAGTCTTTCTTTCTTAGCTTGACTTCTTTTTTTGTGTAAAGTTTTTTTTTGGCTTTAGGTTTTTTTCTTTTTTCTTATTAGCTCCCCTCCTTATTTTTGCTTGAGCATTTTTGACATGTACTATGTTGGCCACACCAACATTTTGTATATATATATATATATATATATATATATATATATATATATTATACTTCAAAATAGATATATTTATTACTTCAAACATTATTTTTAGTGAATACCCATATTTGAGTAGACACTCCATTTTTTATTTTTTCAACAGGGTTTATTTTATCTACTGACATATGTGCTAGAAGAGTGAAAAAAGAAACTGTTAGCATAGAATCTTTGGCTACATTTAGCAATTTCAACTGCAAAATGATGAGACCTAGCTCCCAATCTAGTACTGCACTTAAATTCAGAAAGTTGAGGTGCCAAAGAGGAAAGCTCATTGAATTATTTGATTGATTGGTTATTTAAAGCTAAGACATATTTTGGATTTTAAGAATGTTTTTTTGTGAGTGAATATTACATTAACAATTTTTTTTTAGAATAGCAATAATTTTTCCACGTACAAGTTCTATTATTTAACCCATAGGTGATGGAGGAGATGGATTCATACCTTTGTGTCAACGAATGCTAGAAACCAGATTGGAATTTGAACTTGACTGATTTTGCATTCCAAGTTGCAATCCACATATCTACTTACAAAGTTGAAGAAAACAATGTGAAAAATAAATGGATTAATAAAATCATTTATCTGAAAACTTCAGACAATATAGAGAAGGCAGTAGAAAGTTGTTATATCTTGTACAAGATATAATAAACAAAATGTAAACCAGAGTGTGGTTTTCAATAATAATTTTATAATCGGATGTAGGTATGTCAAAATACAGAGACAGAGTCAGGAAGTAAGCTAACCATAATGGTGTTAGTAAACGAAGACCTTCTTTTTTATCGCTCTCCTTACTGTTTCCTGTGGTCGTACTTTATCGGCCACCAGACCGTCCATTATCGTGAATGGGGAAGTTGGGTTATCTCATCACAACAAAAGTATTGGCTGAAATGTGTTATCACAGAAATAAAGACAATAGTCTAAAAAATGCCAAGAACAATAATATTTTCTCTTATAATTAGAATCTTTTCCATTTGATTCTTTTTGCAATGATTATGATGAAGACCATTTCATCTTCATGTAAACTTTCTACTCTTTAAGAAGAGAAAAGTCATAGCTGTCCACTCATTGTTGAATCTTTCATTTCTGATGAAAAGGCTTGAAAAAATTATATTCAGTTGAGGAGAGGTCTAGAGTCTCTGAAATGTCATAGCCTAAGTAACATACAACTTTACGAGACATCGAATTTGGCAATGGATGTGAACCAATTCTGTTTCATGATAAAACTCTTGCCATTTTTTAAAAAATTATTTTGATTTCATTTTAAACCAGTACTTATATTTTCTGCCTCACACTGTTCTCTTAATTTTCATAGAAAGTGAAAAAAAACAACATATTTTAATAAAGAAAGTAAGAAAAGAAAAACTAGTAGAAAATTAATAAGAAAAATACTTTAGGTAATTTAAGACTATTATATCTACTACTATTAAGTTTAAACAAACATTATAACAAAAATGTAAAAACCGTATATTGACGAATATAGCCATATGAATAAATTTCAATGACATCAGTTGTTTAGCTTTTGTATCCTAATGTCTAAAGTACTGTTGTGGACTGGCAGTCTCACCAATAAAATTTTGCAGGAAAATATTTTTGGATTCATTTTACTTGCTTAATAGTGATGTCAAGCAAAAAGACCTGCACACCACAATAAAAAAGCAACAAAAATAATAATTAATAATTAATTAAATCTAAAATTTAAACAACTATTACATCTACTACTATTGATGTGCAAACCAGTAAAAAATAAGATGAAAGAAAAGTGGTCAAGAATTAATAATAATGATGATGTTTCACTTTAGATATTTGGAAGACTTAAGACTATTATATCTACTACTACAAGTTGTAAAAAAATAACAAATATAAGATGAAAAGTCTAACTAGCAAAAAATTATTAATAAGAACAATGCTTCCATAATTTAGACAATTTAAGAACTTTACATGTATTATTACTATGATATGTAAACAAGTAACAAAAAAAATATGGTGAAAGACAAAAATTAATATTTCATTTAAGATATTGGGAACACAAAACTATTATGTCTATTACTACTACAAGAAGAAAATTATAACTAGCCAAGAAGAGACAATAAAGATAATGTTTCATCTCTGAAATTTGGACATCTTAAGACTAATATATTGACGACTACAAGGTATACCCATATAACGTTTCATCTCTGAAATTTGGACATCTTAAGACTAACACATTGACGACTACAAGGTATACCCATATAATGTTTCATCTCTGAAATTTGGACATCATAAGACTATTATATTGACTACTACAAAGTATATTCATATAATGTTTCATCTCTGAAATTTGGACATCTTAAGACTAATATATCTACTTCTACTCAATCACAAGTCCCATAACCCCTTAAGATCATAGGGGCACTGCATATATTGTAGCCACAGCAGTAGGCTGGTTTTAATTCAGAGTTTTCCTTGTAGACTGGTTGGCAAGCAAGTCTATAGAACCCAGTCTGTCTTACTATTTTACCAATAGCTGAGAGGGAGAAGAGATGGCCTTATACTTTCCCCAAATGTATTTGCATGTAAGTGAATGTAATGAGCTAAACTGGAATTCTATACTACATTATATAAACAAATAACAGAAATAATAATGATAATGCTTTGTCTATTAAATCTGAACATCTTAAGATTATTATATCTACTACTGCTACATGGTGTAGATAAATCACAAAAATCATATAAAAATTAAGAATAGTAAAAAAAAAAAAAAAAAAATTAATCATAACAATGTTTCATCTGTAAAAAAATTGAATAACAAAGATATCAAAGTAATTTCATAGCAAAAGATAACACACAAAAATGTATATTGCATCTCACAATCTGCAGAGACAACCACTACCGGCATTTTTTTGGCCATCCATGACACAGTCCACTTGATTATTTATGGCCATTCTTGTAAAATCCAATATACTCATAGGGAATGAATGCTTCAGCTATAACTTTTCATCAGTCAGTACCAAGTCACATCTACCCAAATATCATCTTAGTTACAATTTTCAGTCAAGCATAATTGTTTAAGTTGTATGAAAAGTAATTAATTCTCCAATAATGTGTGGGAAGTTGCAGTTGTTGGTGTGGAGAGGGGGAGAATTGTTTAATGGGGTTAATCAGTGCTTTCCCAACAGTGTTTTGACTTGCAGTTTCCCTTGTCCAGTTTCTTGCATTCAAATTTGCTTATGGTTGTTTAGGGTTATGCCCCTGAACCTCTTTTGGCTGCCTTACTAGTATAAAGAGGGGGGGGTGAGAAAAGAAAATGTCTGTGAAAAACATGCACAAGCATGTGCTTAATGGACATGGACTAAAATGACATAACGTTTTTTTTCTGAAACCCCCATTTAACTATCAACACTTCTTCCTTTCTCACAAATTTTATCTCTCTCTCTTATATATATATATATATATATATATATATATATATATATGCACACACAAAGACACACACACACACATATATATATATATATATTACAAACACAAGGTCTAACCAGAAAGTATCAGGATCAATACTATTAGAAGAAAACTACAAGACATATTGTTGTGTATGATACTCCTAATTTACATAAGTGGAGTACCGACCATATAAATATGGGTTGGTACCGGAAGACGAGGGAAGATTAAGAGATCGAATCCAGAGACTCTGCCTGACTGCGACTTAGTCAACCCATTCTGCAGGAACAGTCTTCCCAAGAATATACCAAAACTACCTGTAAATATTGTGTACCTTTTTTCATTGTTTCAATACATTTTGTTACGTACATTTTGTGTTGTATTATTATTATTCCATGCTTATTCAAGCTTCAACAGAAAGAGAGGGAAAAAAGGAAAAGGAATAGTGAAAGAGAGGGAAACAAACGAAAAGGTATAGTGAAAGAGAGGGAAAAAATGGAAAAGGAATAGTGAAAGAGAGGGAAAAAAGGAAAAGGAATAGTGAAAGAGAGGGAAAAAAGGAAAAGGAATAGTGAAAGAGAGGGTAAAAAGGAAAAGGATTAGTGAAAGAGAGGGAAAGAAAAGAAAAAGAAATAGTGAAAGACAGGGAAAAAAACGAAAAGAAACAGTGAAAGGGAGGGAAAAAACGAAAAGGAATAGTGAAAGAGAGGGAAAAAAGGAAAAGGAATAGTGAAAGAGAGGTAAAAAAGGAAAAGGAATAGTGAAAGAGAGGGAAAAAACGAAAAGGAATAGTGAAAGAGAGGGAAAAAAGGAAAATGAATAGTGAAAGAGACGCGAAAAAAAGAAAAGGAATAGTGAAAGTGTTGTGTATGATACACCTAATTTACATAAGTGGAGTACCGACCATGTAAATATGGGTTGGTACCGGAAGACGAGGGAAGATTAAGATCCGAATCCAGAGACTCTGCCGACTGCGACTTAGTCAACCCATTCTGCAGGAACAGTCTTCCCAAGAATATACCAAAACTACCTGTAAATATTGTGTACCTTTTTTCATTGTTTCAATACATTTTGTTACGTACATTTTGTGTTGTATTATTATTATTCCATGCTTATTCAAGCTTCAACACATATCAATTTGGTATTTAATCTTCTTCGGCTTGTCAGCTGTTTTTAATGAAACTTGTATAAAAGAGGGATTTCTGCCCAAAATACACAATATGTGTGTGTGTGTGTGTGTGTGAATATGCATAATGAAAAGGTCATGAATAAATGCTAATCACTTAAAATTGATAAAATGCTTTTGCTACTAATTCCCATTTAAAAAAAAATATTCAACGTTGTCTGTCTTTTCTACGAGCATGGTAGTGTTTCCAACTTTACAAACAACCCTTGTTTGATTTAATGAGCTTATAACTCACAGCTTTCATCTTAATAAGTGACTATTGACTGAAAGACCAGAAAAGGAGGTGACCAACGTGGGAATGCTTTGCAACAAATTTAAATAATGTGATTCTGCTTAGCTTTTTATGCTTGGGACACTGAGTTAGAAGTCCAATAAGGTGTACATTTTACTCTTTAACAAGCCATAAGAGAAGCACCAGCAGAAAAGATCAAGATGTTCTTCCAGGACATTCCCTGATGCCTGTGGTCTGAGTGGAATGCACAATTTTTGTCCACTTCTCCATATAGTCAGGGAGCACATTAAAATTGGCCATGTGCCACATTTCACACAAAATAGGTATATAAAATAAATACATTTGTGTGTAAGTTGAAAAATATGGATTAAATCCCCTAAAAATATTAAATATAGAAAAATAGGAAAATTTTTTGAAAATAGTACATCTTGCTATTAATTCATTTATCAGAAGTTTAAGAGAAAGTTTGATTTCAAGTCATGTTTCAGTTTTTATTCAGTTTTAATTCTATGTTGTTTTGCTTTTGTTACTTATAGTGATGTCAAATGTAAATTGGCATTAATGTTTATTTTTGTATCAATTTTTAAATTCTCTTATGTTTTCATTGATTGCATAGATGTCAAATGTATATTGATGTTAGTGTTTATGTTTGTATCAATTTTTAAATACTCAGTTTTGTTTTACCAGTTGTGTAGTTGTCAAATGTATATTGGGGTTAGTGTTTATCAGTATGTCAATTTTTTTCTATGTCCGTTAAGTTTTTTTACTGTTGACTTTCCACACAACCTGAAACAGAAGGTTAAGAAGGAGACAACCATCAATACTATGTGAGTCAAAACATTTAGTTATACACATGCTTGGTACATTTTTAGTAAGACAAAAAAATGTGATATTTATACTGTATGTGACTGTCTGAAAATTATTTAAACATACACAAATACACTTTTTTTCACTATTGGATCTGATGAAGCCTTAAACAGCTAAATACATAATTGGATATATTTCAAAACAAATATACTTTCATGAATGTTTACCAATTGTCAAAAATTTTAAACCTTGTTGGGATCATATATCCTAATTTTAAAACATATATATGTGTGTTTAAAATCGGGAATCCTGACAAAGTTTTTAAGAAATTTGACAAATTGAAAATGTTTCACTGAAACTAGATTTATAACTCATTTGGCTCTTCTAGGCTTCATCAGATCCAAAAACGAAAGGAAAAAAAAATGTGTGTATGTGTATTTGTGTGTATGTTTAAATAATGAATCATCGTACTTTTTCCCTAAGATGGCATTTCTCGTGATTAAAGAAAAAAAAGGTGAGTGACTTTTAAAAAAGCCATTTATATTTATTCTGTATCTTTTCTTTGTAATTCTTAGTTCATGTCAAAAGTTGTTAATATATTTTCCCCAGCTTTTTTGTATTGAATTAAAGATAAATCCTCATTCCATTTTTAGAATGGCTCTAATGTAAGAAATTGATATAGCCTTTTCCGAAATGAATTCAAGGCAAATCCTAATCATATATATGCACAGATAGTGTAACTTGGAAAGAGAAATCAGCAAGCCGAATTCAAATTCTGGTCAAGTTTGTTGGTAAATGTATGAATCCATCTCTTCACTACTGAGCTATATGTTAAATAGCAAGGTAGAATGGGCTCTCTAGCTGTGGTTGGTAATCAGTCAAGGAGAAGGAGAACTCTGAATTCAAAATTGGCTGCCAAAAATCAATAAAAATGTTAGAGAAACCACTGCAGTAACACAGTGTGGTGAAGCCGTGGCTCAAGAGTGGTGAGGCTGAGGCTCTATACTCCACAGGGGAGTTTAATAGGAGAAAGGAGGAGAAAGAGAAAACTTTGTAAACTATTTTTGATATGAAGCTTAAACACTATTATTAAATGGGCATCTTATATTCAGCCATGATTTTCCCCAAATAATTTGAAATTATCACGTTTCCATACATAATTCTTAAAAAGTATACAAATGTGGGTTGTAAAGAGTTGGTAAACTTCCAAAACACTTCTAAGATTTCTTCAACATTGTGCCAAAAATGAACTAGTAACTTTTGTATTCTTTAATCTTTAATCTTTACAACATTTAACATTAATCAGAATAATCATTATTTACATTATTTGGACTGTTATCCTCATCTTCATTGACATATTTACAACATTTCAGCCATTGTATGCCCTGGCCTTCTTCAGATGATCAGAATTTCAAACTGAACCCTATATGGCAATGAAGATGCTGTGGCCTGGTGGCTAAAGACATTGGTTAAATCCAGTGACTACACTGAAAGAGTTGTGAGTTCAATACTAGTCCACAGCAGTGGTGAAGCAAAACTTGGAGAGTTAAAAGGAAATAACTGGAAGAGGCATAGCATGGGGGAACTAGAACAGTCTACCCCAGTGGACGAAATAAAGGGTTCAGTTTGAAATTCCAAATACATAAAGAAGTTTGGAGGGTACAAGGGCTGAAACATTGTGAATATGGCAACGAAGGTGAGGATAACAGTCTAAATGATGTAAATAATGTAAGCAATCATAATACCTCATCTCAGATATATAGACAAATACAGAATAATCATTTTTCTTTATATCCATTATAAATTTTTCTTTTTTTTCCTCCTTTGATTAGTAAGGGAGTTTTATATTTCAGTCTGTTTTTTTAAGAACAAAAATCTTCACCCTAATGTGATTGCCATATTACTGTTCTGGAAGTTGTCCACAATTCATAAATCAAGTTCTGCTGGGGTTGCCTACACAACAATTACTATTCTGGCAAAGGCCCCTAAATGATATAAGAATTTCAGGTAATTGCATTTATATTATACCCGTGAGTTAAGGAAAGGTGAGTTGTTCCCAGGCGTCTGAAAGACAGGCAGGTAAGGCAATGATTTGCCTCTCCAAGAGTAAATGACAAGGTTACATGATAGTCTTGAAACCTCTCCTTAAGATGCAAATTGCCTTGATAAATATTCAAGAGATAAACAGAGGGAAAACAGATATTAAAATAGAAAGTAATGGGTAATGAATCATAGTAAGAGTCATTTTGAAGTGGTAGGAAAATTCTTGAATGACAATTGTTAATGTGAATTAAACTGATCACAAGGTCAGACAAAGACTCAGAAAGAAACATGACTGAAGGAAAGAAGCCTTAAATTCAAACAT